GGAATTGTAATGACACTATAGGAGTGTGTGATACTTTAGCACTGCTCACAGTGAGGGCAAAAGCAAATGTAAGGGCGCAGTGTTGAGAAGTGAGATTTTCATTTCTTCAAAATGAAGTCTGCTGTTACGCGTCGAGTTATAAAAGGTTGTAAAAGTTTTACCACCTACTTTTGAATCCAGATTGAATAAACTTTAAACCAAACTAAACTGTGCCCACAGCACAGAGATCCCAACAAACCTAGATTTAGGGTATTAATTTATGTTCATCATGTGATTTTGTTTTTCAGACCGGAGATGTTTGCCAAGACTGCACCAAAATATTTGAACTCCTTGTTGACATGCTTTCCAATGCAGACCTGCAGGTGAGTACACCTGGTGCCCGAGGAGCAAACACATTCCTAAATGTTCAAATTTGCTCGCTGATAATGTTATCCACATCTTCCATTCCCATATTAAATATATTATATAAGATTAAAATATGAGACCTGTGGCATGAATAAAGAAAAACTAAATATTTTACATTCCAGGAATTTTTAGTGTAATCTTATCATCTAGAGCACATTTTTCACCTTCGGAGATGTAAATAATCTGTAACCAGTTGTGCATGTCTTAAAAACACACACACCAAACTAAAGGTCACTTCATAGTTTTGGTGGTGAGCCACTTCCTATTTTTTCCAAGAAAAGTTGAAATGAAATTTACCATTCAAATTTTGTTCACACACACACACACACACACACACACACACACACACACACACACACACACACACACACACACACACACACACACACACACACACACACACTTGACTTCCAAGATCCTCTTTTGATCTAGCCTGATCTGGTTTACAGGGTCCAAAGACAGAAATAAGTTGGGGGTTTTTTTTTTTTATCACGTATGTTGATAAACATTGATATAAAAGAGGATGTACACATGGAAAGATGCAGAGAAAGATGTTTGGGATTTATTACATAGTATGTGTCTGGAGCTTATGTAGCACAGCAGCATGCTGGTGTGAAGTCAAGCAATGCCTTTATTTAATGAACACAGCAGTATTGTGAACACCCCTTGTTTTCCTTTTTCACACTGACATGGAGTGATGTATATATAAAAAAAGAAACAACACATTAGTGTCTGAATATTTGAGTTTCACCAAACACCGCATTGCTCAGTGTCCACGCTTCACCTTTAAATCGGTTCTGCCGCTACGAAGTAACACCTAAAAAATACCAGCGTTTAATCACATGTCACTGTATCAGTGCACACTGTTAATCTCAAAAAACAAAAATGAACCAAATATCTGTTTAAAACAAACAAACAAAACTGTTACACAATACTGTGCAAAAGTCTTGAACCACCCCTCGTTTTGTTGTGTTTTGCTGGGGAAAAGGTGCAGTGGTTCATTGCAATGTGTAAGCATACATGGAAATACAGCGTAAGAGACAAAAACAGAGTCTGATTCTAATGAGGTTGAAAGTCAGTATTTGGTATGACCTCCTTTATTCTTCAACACACCCTGAACTGTTTTCGTGTTATCTCTTAATATTCTTATTAGTCTTCAGAAATAGTTCTCCAGGCTTCTTGAAGGACATTCAAAGCTCTTCTTTGGATGTCGGCTGCCTTTTGTTCTGCTCTCTGTCAAGATGATCCCACACTGCTTCAATAATGCTGAGCTCTGAGAGGCCCATCCATTACCATTAGAGGCAGGCACACTACTGGATAAAATGCATCCCCACACAACAGGAGATGCCAGATGGCTGTAAACACTCACTGTTGGATCGCTTTACTGAGCTCCTCTGAAAATGACTTAAACCCAAAATCTTTCAAATGATGATTCATCACTCCATAAGTCCTGTTGCCACTGATTTTCAGTGTAATTTGGTCAACCTTCTCTTGTTATTTCCCTTCCTTAAGAGTGGCTTCCTGACAACCACCCTGTCCACTCAGACTCAATCTCTTGTTAGGCAATGATGAACACTTATCCTCTATTTGTCCAGTTTCCTGAAACTTTTTACGGACACGCTGCACCTGTCTGCCAACCTTTGATTAGGTTGGTGCAAAAATACTACTAATACTAGGGTTTTGATGCTTGAATGCATCATAGGTCAGTATTAAGTGTCTTAACAAGAAAAGGGTTCCTCAAGACTTTTAAATAGTATTATATAGAGGAAAATATGAAAACATAAATAAAAAGTAACATATGCCTTGTTCTCAACCACTACCACATGACACCATAGTAAACAAGTCTGGGAAAAAAAACCCCTGCTACTGTTAGGCACAAATAGAAAACTGAATAGTATTCATTCAGTTCACTTGTTAACTCTGTGACTGTTAAGATTTTGTACTGAAGCTTTATATCCACAACACTGATTCCTCACATAGTATTAATAGGTGGTTAATGAACATGTTGTGATTGGATGAAAGCTAAAGGGGCAGAAGACAGGGGGGCGATCGTGATTGATTGAATCTTTATTTTGAACATGTTGAAAAAGTACAACAAAATAGAATTAAAAGAGACAAATGAACAAAGCAAAACAAAAGGAAAACGAGCAACCAGCGGGGCGATCGTGGCTCAAGAGTTGGGAGTTCGCCTTGTAATTGGAAGGTTGCCAGTTCGAGCCCCGGCTCAGACAGTCTCGGTCGTTGTGTCCTTGGGCAAGACACTTCACCTACCGCCCACTGGTGTTGGCCAGAAGGGCCGATGCCACGATATGGCAGCCTCGCTTCTGTCAGTCTGCCCCAGGGCAGCTGTGGCTACAACTGTAGCTTGCCTTGCCTTCCACTAGTGTGTGAATGGGTGGATGACTGGGTGTGTCAAGCGCTTTGGGGTCCCTAGGGGGGACTAGTAAAAGCACTATACAAATACAGGCCATTTAAATGCATTTTAATAAATCAACAAGTTTATGTAATGTGAAAAAAAAAAAAATGCCACACCTGCTCTGCTTACTTAGCTGAAGACAAATGGGGCTACCAGTCTTTAAGTCAATATTCTGACTCACCGCTTTATTCTGCACAGAAAAAGATCATGAATGGCATTGAAAGCGTGTGTGCACTCATGCACGGTCCAGCTGCCAATCTCTGCAAACAAGAGGTGGAGAAGATGTTCCCACTGGCCATCAATTTTGTTACTTCCATCTTGGTAAGTCTGAGAAGTCCAAAACCAGATGCATCCTTGAGTATGGCATTTCTGACACTGAGAAGTCAGTAAACATGTTTTCCTCTCTTCCACAGAAACCAGCGGAGGTGTGCAAAATCCTCGGGCTCTGCAGCTCTTGTGATAAAGAGCAGATGCTCAGCTATTTTGCCCAGGAGGCCCTTCAGGCTGCTGTGACAAGTGATAATGTGAGTATCTGAAGTTTAGAAAGACACATTGCGGGGAGAAAAAACAAACAAACAACATTGTGCTGAACTCTTGCCATTTATGTGCCTCAATCAGGTGAAGCCTTCAACCGAATGCTCCTTCTGCACCTTCCTCATCAAGACTTTGGAGGGTTTGCTTCCCAAAGAAAGAACAGAGGTGAAACACGGTTACACCGCACATAAAAACAGTACTTCCTTGTGCTGCACACAGACACTTAAAAGCAATCAGACCACACAGCTGAGAGTAATCACTGCCCGTGTTTTTGTTTTTTTTTTTTAACTCTGCTCCTCTTCTACAGGAAGCAGTGGTCAAGCTGCTGGAAGAGATCTGCCATATTCTGCCGGCCTCCTACCGCAACCAGTGTGAGACTGTGATCGACAAGGTCAGCAGGACAGTGCTGGATGCAATACTGGCTTATGCGACCCCGCAGGCCATCTGTCACCTCATGCACTTCTGTAAAGGGGAAGAATCTCTGCTTGTGGGTCAGTTTGTTCTCCCTTGCTTCTATTGCAGTGATTGTGATCGTTTACTTAATATGTCATATGTTGGACAAAATCTCCAGAGACCAGGATGTCCAATAATTTGTCTTGTACATGCTTTATATTTTAAAAAAAAAGTTTAAGTGCAGACCTAATATGGCATAATTATACATTAGTTACAACTGCATCATTCATGCATTACAGTACTTTTTAGGCCCAGGAACTGAGATTTAAATTTGATGCATCCGTCTAATCTGAAAGCACAAATCAAAGTATACAAAACGTCCCTTTAAAGAATTCTCAGTTAGCAAGTGAACTTTCTTCTATCTCCTGCTTTAAACCTGCAGATCCATGCACTCTGACAACATACAGATGCAGAGACGTCAAGACTGCTCTCAAGTGCGGAGTAAGTAAACCTCTATTACAATGAATTCACCCGTTCAGCTTTCAGACACTGCAGTATTACATGCGACGCATGTCTCACTTTGTGCAGACTCTGTTCTACTGCCACAAATTTGCCTGGAAGCCTCTGAACTACAACACAATCTGAAGGATTAAGGTGGGTGTACATTGATTACAGTTTGTGTGAAATCAAAGTAAAAAACATGCAGTCTCAATAACACAACTTCTTTTCAAAGCAGATCCAATAAGAGTCAGCGTGGTGGACGCAGCAGATATTTCATCGAGCACCAAATCTTCATCAGCAGCATTTTAACAGTATTTCACATCCCAATTTGATTTCTTACTGCATACTGTAATTTTTGCATTATATATTCAGCCTGCACAGAGTTATGAAATGCAGAAAACATTGTGTTTAAGTGTCATCTTTACTCCGCTACTGCTACTTCTTGTAGCAGAGTAAATATTACTGGCTCAGAGTTAGATTTCACTTATTGCCTTTTAATATACCAACCATTTCTCAAGTTTCCTGTCTCTTCTTTAATAAAGTGTTTTTGTAGTGTTTCCCAGCTGACTTGACAACATATCCTTTGCTGTTAAATAGACTTATGTTTGAGATTTAGAAGTCAAATGAGGTAAAAGTGTTTGAGTCGACTGCTGAATGTAGGGTGGGCAGATATTTTAGTCTTTAGTCATCTTCCTACTTTCAAGTCAGCAGTTTGGAAGAAGTAATAAAGCACAAATAGAGACCGGAAGTGTTCGTCTTTACCACCTCGCAGACAGGATCACTTCTGCTTTATTTAAAAACATGAAAGTATCATCTACAGCAGCACAGTTTAAAGATGTTGAAGTTAGCCCTTCACATAAAACAAGCACAGCCTGTAAGCACAAAGCAAGGGTGCATTTTATTTCAACAGTTTAAGAGAAAGTCAACAACAAATCACACTCGGAAACGCCAAAGACGGAAACTAGCCTTGGGGTTGTCAGGGTCAAAATGGTAAGTTGTGTACTTTGAGGTAGGGGAAGAGGAAATTTGCAAGAGGAGAAAAGGCACTTTTTTTTTCTTTTTTTTTTTTACCCCCCATGTTTAGCAACTGCTGGCAGACTTAAATGATTTTAAAAAACAAAAACTGAACAAGGGAGGGAGTGCTCCTCAAACACATCATCCACAGGAGACATGTAAACAGGCTGGTTTCTCTGTACAACACCAACTACTATTTTCTCCATCTGTGGATGAGCGAGAGGAGACAAAGTTTAAAAAGTAGGTTCCTTAAATAACCAGTGTGACATTAGCCCGTCAGCCACAGCATCCTGTTATTGTGATTGCATCCTGATGCGTTTGCTGCATGCCTGAAGGAGCACGATGAAAAAATAAAATCTTACCAAACACTGCAACATTAATATATCACTTTAAGCATGCGCCAAGTCTGAATGAACGCAGTCACATAAATGCGACACCTGCATCTCTGTGGGTTGCTCAACTCACAAGACAGCAACCTAGAAATAAATACACTGGACATGGCAAGTTATCCCACCAACTCTTCCACTCGGCGGCAAGATTAAAACAGTCGTCTACAACTGATCTCTCCCTCCCTCTGTCAGAGGTTGTGTGTGAGGGTGCAGATGTCAATAAGCGCAAGTAGTCTTTTGCACAAATGCCAGATATAAAGCCTGCAGGATGACCGTAACTATTGTGGGAGTGTCTGAACAAAGGTGAGGGGAACATTAACCCTCTTTCAGACATGTTTGCCAGATTTGTAGGAGCAATTTAAATCTGTAGTACATGCAACGAGCCACAAGGTGGTGCTACAGGAGTCAGACTAAAAACCTACTTCACTATAATTTTGGGGAACACAGCACCATCTAGCTGCATGATGCAGGCATATTTTAAACCTGCCAATAACCAACACAGGAACATCCAAATGCTGCAAGCCTGAGTTGAATCAGCATTTAGGTGAGAAGTGCAACAGGAAAAGCATTTAAAGGCAAAAACTCCATAAAAGCCTCAGGTTTGAATCTAGCCAGGGTCTGACAATCACACATACATGAACAATCTAGAGTTTTAGCAAAAAAGTGTATCAGTCTCTTTAAAAGAACAGCAGTTATCTCAGAACAGTTTCTCATGGAAACATTTGATTTGTCACAATCATAGCCCACAATGTATGGCATTAAATATGAATACATCGCTTTAAAAACAAATATTTTAAAAGAAAAGCTTCTTTTACAACTTCTGCATTCGATTAACAGCATCTGTACATGCAATATGCGTTTTAGGTAACCTTAAAACTACTAACTGAAGCTGTGCGGTGCTCACATCTTTGTGATGTAGCTTTACTCTTCATGTTCCACTTTCCCATTGAGTTCAGGCGGGACAAACCAGGATAGGCAACAAGATTGGGAAAAGTTTTCAGAATTTAAAAAATAAAATCGACTTGACAAACATTCAGTTGTCCCTCCTTGCTAGTCAAACTTAGGTCCCACATTCAAACACCATCATAAAATATTTAAGTACGGTGTTTCCATGAGATAAAGGCAGCCCCTGCTTAGAGGTGACGGAGCCCAGGTTTCTCTGTAATACACCCAGACTCTGTCTCGGTAATGCCAAGTACTGTGCCTTCATCTTGGTCAGCAGAACGTTGACACATTTAACATCATTTGTAACATTCACATGGTTTTAAAGCCTACAAAATAAATCGAGGTACAGCCCAACATAACCACGAGATCATAGCAGCTTCTGACTTCTCTGTAAAACGTCAGAAAACACTGGCCTGAAGGGACAGCACAAACAAAAATAGAAATAAATAGAAAACTGTAGCGTTTGACCCATCTTTGCCATCAAGAGGTTTATAAAAAAAAATATACATTTTTTTTTTTTTTTTAAAAAAAGGAGTGCAAGTGGAATAGAAGACGTTTCTGTACTGTGTAGTTACCGTCAAGTTAGACAAAACATTTCCACTGATCACTTCTAAAACTACACTGCAGTGAGATTCTGAATTTGAAGGTTGTGGAATACTAGAAGTGTTTTCATTACTGTATGCAAGTATGGTTTTAATATGGAGGTGTCAATAATACCAGATTTGCTGACATACAAATCAGTGCACTCTTTCCATAGGTGTGCCAGGAAACATGATCGCCATTAATTATGCAAAATAAAAAGAAATGCACCAGAAATTATTTGAATCTGGCCGCAGCGCTTAAACTCTGGTCTTGGCAACTGAACTGAAATAGCCATTTTTTTTCTCTGCAGGGATGTGTACCAACATGTGGATAAAGGGCATTTTGTATGTAGCAAAGGCTGTCAAAGTGTGGCTGTTTGTGAGAGGACGAATTTTAAAAAGGGAGAAGACTGGAAGAAGGATGACAGACACAAGGCCCATTAAACAGGAGGGGGGTGTTCAGTACATCAGCTTCTTTGGCACCTCCCATGAAAAGACGTCACGACCAAAGTGACCGTAAGCTGCTGTGTGCTGGTAGATGGGCTTCTTCAGGTCAAGATCCCTGAAACAAGAATTAAATAGAGTGACTCGCCAGCTAAACATTTCTGCTCTTGGTAGTCGGCAACACAAATGCAGTTTGGTTAAAGGAACGGTTTTAACAACATACAATAGCTGAAACTTATTGTTTAGAGATGTTAAAAACACAAGATTGTAGAGGAATGTTATATCATATAACTCAAATACACATGCCAATGTTTTACCTCATTAACAGACTAGGTTCCATTTTGAGAGTTTTCTGACATTTAGGCCCCAGACCCCAAGAGAGAGGGAATAACGTCTGATTGGGTGAATGCCAGTTTCACTGCTGAAATATAGAGAAGTAAAACCACCTACTTTGTGCCCAATTTCACCTACCAACTACTTGCCAGCTGGTCAAGGAATCCACATTTTTCTCCGTAGTAACCGTAGGCTGCCAGATGCTCAGACCAGTTTCTAGGCCTGTACAGCTAAGGGCTTAGACTACATGACTAGCTTTTTTATGCCTCTTGTTTAAAACCAAATGACAACGATCCTAATAAAACAGAACTAAAGTGCAGGTTTGGTAGCAAAGACCTGATACTGTCACAGAATACCTGACAATAACTCCTGGACGGAGGTCAAAGTTCTTGTTCACAATGTCCAGCAGCTCCCTTTCACTCTTCTGGGAGGTCCCGTAGTGGAAGATTGAGACAGAGAGGGGATGGGAAACACCAATGGCATAGGATACCTAAAACAATTGTTAATCATAAACACATCATTCAAAAATAATGACAGGAGAGACATTTTAACACCAAAGCACTCCACATGTGCTTTAGTACACTGATTATAGTCAAAAAGCTTCTCCAATTCAATTGTGAGTGTGATGATACAGAGCTGATCATTGCTGCAGTTAAGCCCAGGAATAGTGAGCTTACGGACAAGCTGCAGAGACCAGTTAGAACTGCTCACCACTTGATTTGCTTTCCCAATAGAGCAGCATTGAGAACTTTTTAACTGTAGAGTACATTTTACAACACATACTGTACACACTGATCAACAACTCAAGTCTAGGCAGTCACAGAAAATATTTTCTATGCTCTTAGAAAGCACAGGAATCCAATGCCAGCAAATGAAAATCCAGAGCAAGATGCAATGATGCATGTACAATGGTAACAGGTTTTTGCAGACAAATTAAATATGAAAACATTAAAAGGTGATTAAACCAACAAGCAGAATTCAATAGATGACAAGCTGGTGCATGACTGTCTACGGGGAGCTGTAAACACTGCTTTTTGTGAGATGTAAAACCATGAATTTGAGTACCTTCAGTTCTAGAGGCAGCTGAGTTTTAAATCCCATTATATGCAGGTTTTAGATTGAGTAAAACTGATATACTGTGTACTCACCTGGACCAAGACACGCTTGCAGAGCCCAGCTTTTACTAGAGATTTGGCCACCCAACGGGCAGCGTAGGCTGCAGAGCGGTCTACCTTTGTGTAGTCCTTCCCAGAAAAAGCTCCACCGCCATGGGCTCCCCAACCCCCGTAAGTATCGACAATAATCTTACGCCCGGTCAGTCCAGCATCACCCTGCCAGAAGTAAAGGTGGAGGTATTAGTCCATTAAATCTCACTAGAAAGTTTAATGACCTTAGTGTGACAGCATGGCTGCCTTCAAAAGGTTTACAGCTTTTGTTTCACCTGTGGTCCTCCAATGACAAAGCGCCCACTGGGCTGCAGGTGGTAGATTGTCTCATCGTCAAGAAACCCGCTGGGAACCACGGCTTTCACCACCCGCTCCTTCAGAGAGCAACGCATCTCATCCAAACCTACGGCCTCATCGTGTTGCACAGAGATCACAATTGTGTGGACGCGCAGAGGTACCATGGCTCCTCTATCCTGCCTGTACAGAACAGTCACCTGAGGGAGAAAACAAAGACAGGTGATGGCTCCAGCTAGTATGATCACAGGCTTGAACAAACGTAAGCAAAACAGTTTGCAGGAACATCTGCAATAATAATGACATGCATCTGTATTTACCACAAATATTTTCACTGCCTGTGGCTAAAGCATTGATAGTTAATGTGAGGATGTCTTTTAGCTAACAGTATCTTTCCAAAAACAGCATAAAAACCCACAACACAAATCTTCATTTCTTGCAGAGCTCCCAAAATGTAGGACAGACAGTATTGTCCAATTTTATCTGAACTATAAATATAAATTGTATAAAGATGATGTAGCTTCTGTGTTTGAAAAGTGAAACCTGTGCACAAAAGCTTTAAATCTGCAATGTTTTTAAGGTCCACCAGGTGGAGATACCTGCAGCTGGCCTATGGGAGGACTGCTTTCTTTTTTCACATTGCTTTTCTGGTCTTTCTCCTTTAGATAACAGTAGTGGGGAAATGAGGGATTAGGGGGAAAGACATGCAGCAGTGAACCTTTGATTGGAGTTGAACTTGGGCTGTTGCGTTTAGCTTTTCAACACAGTCACCTGCTTACTATGCAAGATAAACTGGTGCACAGGAAAGACTAAGAGTCAACATGTTCAAGTGAGAATGTACTCTTTACAAGTCAGTTTTGTAAACTGTCTTAACACATCCCATCAGAAAGGAGGATAATCCATGGCATGACTTGTCTACCAAGTTGTTAGCCAATGAGTGTGCAGTTTCACAGTCAAACCCTCTCCTCACATCAGGTTTTACCAAAAAAAAAAAAAAATTATTTTGAGGCTTCAAAGCTGGACTTCCAGAACTAATGAGTGGCATCATGGTAGCTACATCCACCCATCCAACTTTTACACCGTCTGTGTGAGTGAAACTTTATAAACTGCATCAAAAATGTACAAGAGTCAACAGCAAATGCACCAAAACAGGAACAGAGGGCACCAAGCACTTTAAACACAGAATATAAAATATTACCATTCATTATTTATACACAGTATTAAGATTTCCCTTTTACAGCATGTCAAAGCAGGAACTCAACATTCAAACCACACTTAAATCTGCAAATACTGTCTAAATTATTCAGTACAGTCAGAAATAGGGTTACAGCCAATTACCAACTAACCATAAGTGTACAAACTGAAGAGGAGGAAAAACAAAAGCCGAACAAAGGAAGGAAATAAACAAACTTAGCTTCCACCTACACTTATAACTTAAAGAACTGGCTCCAAACTGTAAATATACTTTGACCACATACCTGAGTCTTGGAATCGGGGCGGAGCCAGGGCAGCTCTCCATTTCTGCGCAATTCAGCCATCTTGGCATTGAGCTTGTGAGCCAGGACAATGGTAAGCGGCATGCACTCCTCTGTCTCATCAGTGGCATACCCAAACATCAGACCCTGCCACAGTTGCAGTCATGTGTCAAATCATTAAATGATTTACCAAATCATTAAAGTACATTACTGCTACATTTCTGGCTTCAGTTACTTGGCTCTAGACAAAATGTAAGAATCAGCTGACCTGATCACCGGCTCCGACATCCTCCTCTTTGCGATCCAGGTGAACGCCCTGGGCAATGTCAGGGGACTGCTGCTCCAAAGCCACCAGCACATTGCAAGTCTTGTAATCAAAGCCTATAAATCCCCCAAAATAAGCCTCAGTAAAATGTTTCAGCTTATCATTATACGTCAAAATAAAGTAGTATTAGGACAAATTTTGCATCTACTGAATTTGTCACTATGTGCAAACAAGATCTGTAGACCAACTATAGTTGATAATAATTTTAAAAAAGTTCAAGAATCTTTCAGCCTACGTCCATGATATCAGTGGCATTAAGCCAGAGTGGTGGCACAAGTCTTTTTATGAAAGGGTAATAATCAGACTTCAAGATTTACTGTAATTTTCTCCAAGAGAGAAGAGAGTTACCATTACTTTTCTTTCTTTGGCCTTTTGGATACAACTGCACCCATTTGAACCGGAGCTAAACTCACAGCTAGCTGATCTTACCTTTCGAAGAGTCGTTATAGCCAATATGTTTAATTGTGTCCCTGACAACCTTCTGGTAGTCCACATTAGCCCTGGAGGTGATTTCCCCAGCCAACAGGATCATCCCAGTCTTGGCAACAGTTTCTGAGGACAAAAAACAAAACAATATGCAGTGAAAGCAATGAAAATGGCCTGAAGAAAATGCAGTTCATTAACAACTGTTGCCATGTCTGCACCTAAACCCCACCCTAGGGCAGAACTCTGAAAGCACATGATAGATCATTTGAATACAAGCCCCTAAAAACAACATTTTAAGAAAGTACATTTTCAGACTGGTATTGTTTCAGAGATTTGTAACATGCCCAATTTTGCATAGATATGGTTCAACAGTGGATCATGTGCCATAGTTAAAAAAAAGAAAAAAGAAAAAAAAAGAAGAAAAAAAAAAGCCTTTATGGTTGCCCTGCCTCTTTGACTTACCACATGCTACTTTGGCATCAGGATCTTGTCTGAGGTGTGCATCCAACACGGCATCGCTGATTTGGTCACAGATTTTATCTGTGGAGCAAAATAAGCACAACAGTTTAATGCGATTCCTTAGTTTGGTTGGTAAAATGACGATAACAGCTGATATTTTACTTCATAATTAAATGAATGAAACATTAAATTATGCATATTATAAAAAGCCAAGTCTCAAATTAATAATTACGATCATTAAGAGAAGGTTTTACACTTCTTGCCACTTAAGACTGGATAATGACTAGTTTTCAATCAATTGTAACAAAAGCAAAAATCATTTCAATACAGAACAGATGCAAAGATATTTGTGCTTGCCCTTTCATGATGTAGTTTCCACATTTGATTGCTTGAATGCAAAGAAATTGAAACCCGTAGCCTAAACTCCATATCCACATATTTGAGGCCTTTAACTATAGTATAAGACCAACCATAGTGTGTTGGTCTTCAACTTCAACATTTCCAAAAAACAAATTTTAGAACCGGTGTGACAGGATTTACAAACAGACTATTCAGCTTTCAGGTTGTTGAAGCAGTTTTTCTTCCCTTCTAACTGCAAAGGCTGTAAACGGGACTACTTTGCCCTCAGAGTTGAGCACTAGCCCCTGCAGTGCCTATATTTAGGAGTACTGGTAAGCCTATTATCTGTTGCAACAGAGCTGTCCCAGTATGAGACTGAGAACTGCAGCACACTGTGTCCCAAGCTGCTCAATAATTCTTCAATTAAAGCATGCAAGACCTCAGTTTTGGCTTCTTGTAAGTCTTTTCACTGAAAAGATTTAACTAGTCTTGTCACAGCGTTTTTAATGATGGCTTAAGTGCTCTAGTAAGCCCTTACAGTGAATTAGCCAACACAAAAGCAGTCCTGCCACAGGCCCGAGCCTCATTAAGCTTATTAAGTTGGGTTTTTGTTTGAGCTGTTTAGGAGAGGTGTCAGTGTGCGACTTGAAAAGTGGCGATAAAGCAGGACAAATCAACTCTTAAACATCTCCGACAAATTAAGCATTATTATCTGTCTGAACTTATGATATGATGCAGTGCTAAAAGGTAGCCAAGGGTCCTAAATAAACACAAATTTGCGTGTATTGCCAACACCCCCAACGGGATAAAACATCTGACTGCTGACGGAGAGATGGGGTGGATGTGATTGACAAGCACCAACAGTCCGGGATAACGTGGTGTTAGCATACCAGCTAGCATGCAACAGTGACTTTGAGCTTTCAAATAAACTATTCCCTTAACTTCTAAGGAGTATAAATGATTACAGGTAGAGTCTGTAAGGTATGTGGGAAACTTTACATTTTGTATAAACTGTTTAACAGTCCACAAAACAGAAGCCGAGCAGGCCATTCTTTCATTCATGTTTTTTGAGTTAAAACGTTCTAAATATCAGTTTTATTCAGCTTTAGAGTTTAGCCGAAATTAGACTGCTCCAGCCAGTGTAACTTTTAGCCCTTTCCCTTTTAAAACAACCTTTACATTCACTTAAATCACGTCGTGTCCTCTTCTTTGTGTCCCTTTTACTTAATATTCCCTGACTTTACTGTTCAAAAGTAAATTAAACAAGCCACTGAAATTATTATTTCTAGCTTTTCCATAAACTCCACTCAGACATGCCAAGCTAGCAGCGGTACCCAACCTTGTTTGACAGGCTAACAGGATGCTACGCTAATTATTATGGTCAAGGAGGAGGAGGGAGGAAACTACCTCACAGACAGGGAATGGCACGTTAAAACTTACCGGGGTGTCCTTCTCCAACTGACTCAGAAGAGAAGAGGAAGCAGTCTTCATTGTAAACCGAGCTGCTGTTGTTAATGAAACCGTTCATCTGGTAGTTCATTTTAGCCACTCTTAGCTTACAAGCTAGCCGACTATATACCCACTACACAGCTTTAATAGAAAACCGGGAGACACGTTTTACACCTTCACTAGGGTCACCTGCTTCTCTCACACATACACACAAAGCGACAACCACAGTTAAAGTTCAGGGAAAACAGGACGGACCAGACAGCTGAATTTATGGTCTGCACGAATTTCCTCAGACCCCTCAAATCATTGCTCTGCAGCCAATGTTATTGTTGAGCACAGACCATGTGGTGCTCATGGGCGTGTTCATACCAAGAGCTAAACGCCAAATGGCGCTGAAGACAAATTGCTCAAGTGACTCAAGTGAACCCTGAGATCTGCTGCACGCTGTGTTTCGTTGTGTTTAGTATTTGGAAAGCAGTTTCCAACGTTTGTGACAAGATGTTATGGTCTAGAATGTGGAAATACAAAAATAAGAACCCTAATAAACCATGATTGCACTATTAAAATATGTGCCATGAGAGGGATTAATTTATAGAGCGATTGTAAATACGTAAAGGATAAATTTCCACTGTACTGTGTGCAAAGTGTTTTCATTTTTTTTTTATATTTGTACTGAAAACATTATGAGATGTGCAAAGAGAATAGGAAGATGTCAAACAGTTTTTTGGGAAAATTACAATTTTTGTAATACCCTCTGCACACCAGCACAATGGATTTAAATCAAACAATTAACATGTGATTCAAGTAGAGACTTTCAGATTTAATTAAAGGGGTTTAGCAAATGTATTGCATTAACTATTTAGAAAGTACAGCCACTTTCAGAGGCTCAAATGCAACTGAGCAATTGACTGACAAGCAGTTTCATGGCCATGTGATGTCTTTCCCCCGATAATTCACAAAAAAATTAAGCAGATAAGTTGATTCTAAGCATCCAACCTTTGGTAGCTTTCCACTGGAACACTCAATAAGAGGTCCAAAGGGAAGAATGTGCAAATGAAGACTGAAAAACCAGAGAAACAGCAACAACTTTAGGAAGAAATTCAGTGAGCAGCTCAGCACCACCAAAAGGCCTAAAACATGACAGGAAACAGCTTAAGTGGATGATGACAGAATTGTTTCCATGGTCAAGAAAAACAGATAACAAAACATCTAACATAGTGAAGAAGGAGGAATGTAAATACAAATGGGTTTTAGAACAAGATGCAAACCACTGGTTACACCCAAAAATAGGAAAGTCAGATTAGACTTTGCCAGAAAACATCCAAAAGAGAGCACAGTTCTGGAAAAAACATTATACAGATGAAACCAAAACAAATTTGCACCATAATGATCGTGGAGAAGGAGAGAAACAGCTAATGATCTGAAGCATATCACATTATCTGTCAAACATGTTGGAGTCAATGTTATTGCATGGGCATGTATGGGTACCAGTGAAACTGGGTCACTAGCATTTATTGATAATGTGACCGCTGATAGAAGTAACAGCATGAACTGTGAAGTGTACAAGGCTATACTCGCTACGCATGTTCAGCCATATGCTGCAAAACTGATGACTCAAAGCGACCCAAGAGTTTCACAAGATAAAGAAATGTCTTCAGTGGTGACGCAGTCGCCTGATTTCTGTAATTCTTAATCATATTATGTAATACTATTGTTAAACCCACAAACTGCACTCCAGTCACATCTTGATCCACTTTTAAATCCACCATGTTGGTGTACATAGGCAAAACTACAAGAGATATGTCATTGACCAAAGATCTACTGTACTTTTGGAAGTCAAAGCTTTGCATTTTTTCAATAAGGTGCCACATTTATTATTTGATGCTGAAGAAATTCAAAAGTAATGTTAATGTAATGAGATCACACTCCATGTTTTTGTAATCCCAACTTTAAAAAACGTTATTTGTGTTCTGGGATAGATAGAAGAACTAGAATTAGTGTCATAATCCATTAGATTAATTAATGAATTATTAAGGGACACCAAATAGCTCCAAAATGGTACAGCCACATGAGGGCATCTCACCTTCATTTAGGCAGAACCACATAAGTATATAATGGAAATATATCTTCTCCAATGGTAAAGTGAATTGGAATTAGAGTCCTGTTTTCTAACAATATGCTAACTGATTCAGGATCTGAGATGCAACTCTTATTTGTCTTATTTATTTATCCATTTATTTCAGTTTCACCGTTGTATGGTTAGTCCATCAAGTGCATTTGATCAGCAACATCTGGTTTATACCTACCCTCTTATTTACTATGAAAGCATTAAGTGTGTACTTGTTTTTTCACATGACCACAGGTAAAGTTTCTTTTTCATGTGACTTGCTCAGATAAGGATTCCTTTTTTCTTATGCTTTTTCATCATCTTTGGTTTTGGATCTTGGATCTTGTTGGTTAGAGTTCTTAACATTGACTCAACATTGACTTCTTGTTGGACATTCAAAAGAAAGACTTTTTACCTTTTTGAAAACACCTTTTTAAGTCCAGCATGCACTCTACACATACATGCAAAAATATAAGTCGAGTCCACGTCTCTTATGTTTTCTGTTCATGACTGATGGATGGCCAACTACCTGAAAAAATAGGTACCCTGCTTGTGTCAAAATTTGATTGATGGCCCCAGCCTTGACCTTTTGACCCTACCGGAAGTACTCCGGAAGTGTCTCATCGATTCCATATGTGTGACTAATCGCATCCGGTGGAGGAAAAAAGGAGGGGTGGTTCCTGGGGGGATCAGAGAGGGAGGGTTCCTGGGGCATGGAGAGTTCAGGGGGGTGACGCAGCAGATTTCTGTTGAGTCAGTGCAGTCCACAGACAAACTCATAGTTTGAATTCTGTTTAAATATTATGACAATGTGATCTTGATATCCTTTTTCTCAGAAAAGAACTATTTCTTTTTTTCAATAGTGGATGTATTTTACTTTCTTATATTACAGGCACAATAAAATAAAAACCTTTAAGATTATCTGACTAGAAACGGATTGCATTTTATTTATATATATATATATATATACATATCTATATATATATCTATATATATATATCTATATATATATCTATATATATATATCTATATATATCTATATCTATATCTATCTATCTATATCTATATATATATATATCTATATCTATCTATCTATCTATCTATCTCTCCATCCAGTGCCTGGGTGGAGGTAAGCGCTTGTAATGACAAAAGAAGGACTTTCTATCTGCTTGTAACCTACAGGCTGCCCACCTCGTATGTGTAAAAAAACCATAAATAACCCTCATGAAAAAAGCGCAGCGCCCGTACTCAGAAATCGGCGCCAAATAATTTTATTAAAACACCCTCGGAAGAGGTATTGTGTGGGAAAGACTTTTCTTTGTTTTAGAGTCACTTTTCCAACGGGTTTTCTCATTAGCAGAAACTCTCGACAGACAGAAACTCTAAAAGAAAAAGTTCTTGTTTTACGCACATCGAGGAGGAGTCAACAACCCCTCTAATCGTTATTAGTATTTCTTAATGCCTCCAGCCAAGAAAAGAATTTCATAAAGGCCCCAACTCCTTGTACGTGCAAAATAACCCAGATGACTACGCCAGATGGAAGTATAACCGGAAGCGTGGCAGGGACTTTCCCTTTGACCTTCATCCTGCTCCATGATCAGCCGTTAAATCTTTCCTCAATATTGCTGTAATGTAACAACAAAGTTAGTTTTTTAAGATCAGACAGTTCCCAAAACATTCCTTACACACCCCCGCAGTCACTGAATTAGCATCTGTGGCACAAATAAGCTTCAGGGACTGACTTGTTTTTTAGAACCGACCTTTGACAATTGGATGTTGGCTTAATTTTTACCCAAAGAGAAATTTGACCCTAATAAAAAAAAACACGATACTGTGGTGAATACTTACCTCAACTTTGATGGGTTTTTTCACAGCTATTTATTTTGAAAAAAAGTAAACATGTCACAAGGACACAATGCACATTGCAGAGTACATGAATGGGAAGTAGGAATTCCTCCTCTCTATACTTACACTCCTCCCAAACAAATGTCAAGTCATCATTTCCATATTGTGTGTCCCACTTTTCGAGTTTCATTGAAGTGTATCCAAGTGCACAAGATGTAAAACAATGTATTCGTTTTTTAAGCCCTTCACCGAGTCCCCGTCAAGATGCCATTCATTTAAGAGTTTATTAATTTTTTGAATTTAAATTGTGCTAACTTCAACGCAGTACCATTAAAAATAAAACATATTAGAACTCATTTTTGTTGGACACAAGAACAACTCGAGCATCTTTCTTTCGGGAGCCGAACTAGGGCTTACAAGTTTGCCGTGCCCCTGGGGACCAGTGCGAGGTTGTGCGGCAGATCCCGGCGTGGAGGGTCCAGACACTCCCACAGCGCAGACTTTGCTATCCGCACAGAGCGTTTCTGGTGTGGCTTATGCAAAAGAGACAATACAGCTTCCTGTAAGCATGTCTGTTGTAGCCTGCCCTTTATAAATATCTCTTTGATTATTCAAACAGTGTTTAAATTGTGACTTGTTTGTTATCCAAAAACATTTTATCTATGTTAAAATATACAGATATATATATTTCAAGTTTTTTTTAGCTCAAACAGAGTCTTGAGCATATTCATATAGCAAATCCACATAACCAGTGTGCACCCTAATGTACATCTTTGAACTGTATGTTAATCAGTACATGAAGCGTACCTCTGAAAAGAGTCCGTCATTTGGGAATTTACTGATTTGTTTTTTAAACTGCAGTTTTCACAAACTACGGATGATGAAATCCTCTGTATTGTAGAAAATGCCTTTAAACTATCGCTGTTCCTACTTACTGAGTTCCCTAACTACTTCTTTACTATGTGAATAAACTATTTGAACAAGAAAGGATTTAAAGACTGTTGGGGAAAACTCTGTAAAAGACCCAGGAGGAATAAAGACACAATGAGACAAAGTTACTTTCTTTATCAAACGTGTACACGGGTGAGCTGCTAAGAACAACTCACAACGTGTACAGAGGCTGGGCACTTTTTATAGGAAAGACAGTGAGAACAGGATAAGAAAAATACAAAACAGATAAAATAAACAACTCCATATGTGGCGCTAGTCTCGTCAGCAGAGAGCTGGGAGAAAGCTGTGAGAGATAAAACAATCT